ATTCAGATTATCCCAAGTTTGCAGTAAGGAGCTCGGTTGATAAGGGGCTCCTTTCAACCGGAGGCTCTTGATGCGGGAGCCAGCTTGAACACATACCAGCTGCAGCATCGTTAGATCAACAGCATTTGATCCTATCGAGATGGTAACATAAACAGGTATAACTCCAGATCGAACAAGGACCATCTCTAGCATATCCAAATTCGAACAAATGATCCCATTAGAGGAGAAGCTTTCAAAGCGCAGAGCCTTCGAGTTTGAGGTCTCCATAAGACCCAAAGCGACTTCTAGCTTGTTCCAAATTCTTGGGGCTCCCATTCCAATATATCTCCAGGAGCGACAAACGGCCAGTATTGTCCATAGGGACTGATCGTTATAATGAACATGATGTTCAAATATCAGGAGAAGTAATTCAGCGGGTAAGAGTCGAATGGGAGCAATCAGGTTCTTCTGCTCATCGAGTAATTTCTTTCTCTCCTCCCTCTCTGAGAATAGATCGTTTATCATGACTTGAAAATCTTGTTTGACGGCGGCATCCGTCGACTCGCTTAGGTAGCTTTGAAGATCTTTGATGCGAGCTGCATATTCGTGGACCTCGCTTTCATACTTGTGGATAAGTATCTGAGCGGCTCTGATCTGATTGGGGGTGGGCGGTTGATAATGATACACTTGCTGTCTGGTTGTTGAAGACATGGCGTAGTTGGGCAATGTTGCTATTGCATACAAGCCAAGAGGGATCTTTTATTTGTATGTATCGCTGAATACACTTCGAGGAACGTCACGGGCCTGGGGACGATGTGGCAAATGAGTTCTTGGTCTTATGATGAGAACTTTTTATACCCGATATTTAGGGCCGAGCTTATAGATGTTTATAAGGACTATGGTACCGTCTGGGAGTAGTTGCTTCTGCTCTACGGAATATGGTTAGGTGCAAGCTGTTAGAAGGTTTGTCAAACTTGTCTTGCGCCGACTGGATTTCGACTATGTCTTATAATGTCTCTTATTCCAAGTATTAAAGTTACGAATGGAATAACTCTACAACGGTCGTATTTCACCTCTGACCTGTTCGTCAATGAAGCGCGTGCAGATGTTGACAGCCTTTTGTGTGAATTTGACCATTTGGCGGAAGGAGAGGCCGAGCCGTTTGTCATTTTCAAGCAATTATGGGTTAAATTGGGATGGAACTTGGCTCATTTGATTGTATGGGAGGATTCTGCTCGAGATCAATACCTGCG